ACACACACACACACACACACACACACAAACACACATATACGCACACATACATGCAAATACGCTCCCCCTCTACGATGGACGCTTTGTCAGCTCATTTATCAGTGTATTATGTAGACATGGCGAACTGCAGCTTAGTATCACGCTGGACTACAGACACATAGCTTTGGTTCGAATCTCTGACCGGAAGTTCTGAATTGGGGCCGTTTCAGGGAGTTTTTGAAGGTTCTTCACCGACATGGGTCGATCCTATTGAAGACTGACGTTAAATCCGGAGGCTCCCGCATTTAAATTGATGTTACTGTATTGAAAGTACCTATACAACAAACAACGAATGAAGTGTGGATGATCCTTATTCTAATCCTCCAGTTTGACATTGTCTGAACTTGGGTTATTTTGAGAGTTTTCAATGACTATCTTGTCGGAGATATGCTTTAGATTTCTCGAGCAATGTCAATTATTCGTCACACCTACATGGCTCTGTCCTTGGGCTTTAAATCGAGGTTCCTAAGTAAACGCACGAGAGTTGAAAGAGGCGTTAAGCCTATGTACCATGACAGAAGATGGCTTGGTGGGAGATGCGTGTATTTAAAAGGTACCTGAGCTGACAAATCCAGTAGAGAAGGATGGAGATGTAGCTCTATTGAGTAACCGAGAACTCCATGCTCAAAATCTCTGTAAACATAAATCTCATTTTTACTTTAAAAGATTTAGGAAGACTTTCGAGATATTCTCCAGAGCCCCTCCGATGCAAATACCGCCCCTCATATCATTTCGAGAATTTCCCAGGTAAAATTATCACTGGTCTATATGGAGACGGGTCCAATTACTGAGCTGGGTTTTGTTAAGAAACTATGGTCCGAAGAAGCATCATAACAGACACTGTAAAAACGTCTGACTTGATTGGTGTCCAGGATCAGAGTTCAAAAAATGGTTATTGGTGGAGTTTTTTTCTGGCTGTCTCTTTCTTGACTTTAAGTGTATGTGTATTTATGTGTGTTTGGGTACTTTTGTGAATGTGCTCGTGCTTGTGTGTGTAGGTGTGTGTGTGTGTGAGTGTGTGTGTGTGTGTGTGTGTGTGTGTGTGTGTGTGTGTGTGTGTGTGTGTTTGTGTGTGTGGAGAGAGAGAGAATAAAAATGCACAGGTTAAGTCGACAGTATAGACAGAAAATCGTTCAAGTGACACCCACTCCGTGCAATCGCTTCAGCTGATACCAACCAAGTAATACTTCTGAAATGCCCTTTTGACTCCAGCTGAATATGTGGAATAATTTTGGACCTATTCAGTTTGTTTTGATGAGGGCTAGGCGGCCGCTTTGATGCGGTCCTGTCCCTTCACCTTTTTTAAAGGATTGATTTGATTGCAGTCATTTCAAGCAAAACCTAACATTTAAAAAACCCCATACCATTAGCAACTTATCATAACTCCAGTACACTCGTACGTGTGTCTGGTTATTTTTTCTTTATGTGCCATAAAGTCTTTGTCAGTCAGTGCCTTTTATCATTCAGGTCAACATAAACCGTAGATTGACGAAAAGTTTCACATGCGTCTCTTGGGTAAAAAGATAGTGGGTTTTCTTGGCAGATGTGATGTTTCTTTTTCGCGACATGTTACCGACGACACCTCCATTTTCCTTTTCTCAGTTCTATAGCAAATCTCATGTCCTGCAGCACGCGAGTGTGTCTTTTCATTATTGTGCTTTTATGGGGAGGTGGGTGAGACAGACAGACAGACAGACAGACAGACAGACAGACAGACAGACAGACAGACAGACAGACAGACAGACAGACAGACAGACAGGCAGGCAGACAGGCAGACAGGCAGGCAGGCAGGCAGGCAGGCAGGCAGGCAGGCAGGAAGGAAGGCTGAGAGACAGTCAGATAG